GGAGCAATAGATCTCTTATGAAATAAAAGCCATTGTTTTTTCACTTACAGCATGAATGAATATTATGACATGAAATGGTTGAGGAATAACAAAAGCAAGTATTTAACGTGTGGCGTCAAAGTTGTTTAAAGAAAACAGATTTCAGAGCTCCCTCAATTAACTGATCACTGGAACTTCATGAGGAATGCCATTTGGTCTTTCGTCGCAATCAAATCAGGGGGAAATCTTAGTCCACATTATCAGGTATAATCGCCCAACAAATTAATGATTAAATAATGCGGTCTGCAGGTCATTTGATGTTGCGGCCCCAAAAAAATAACAGTTTGCTATCGTTTCGTTTGTCCGTGAAGATAACAAAGTATTACCTAAAATGGTTCGCCGATAAGTAGCTGAGAGTACAGCATTCCGAAGCACCTTGAAGCCACTTCCCATTGTTCGTGGTGCTTTGTAGCGTTTCCTGCTATTTTCCGACGCGGCGCCATCATATTCTTCGTTACTATCCAGAGAAATCGTGAAATTGGCACCAAAAATAGTGTATACAAGCAATTTGTTATTGTTCAATTTTTTCAGTCGTGCATTAACTAAAAATACCAATTGTTTGCATCAACTGACTTCATTACCCAATTTTCAGCATGTGGATTTAAGCGAACGGATTTTTAGACGACGTTTTGAAAAAACCGTACCGGAAAGATGCAAGAACAAGGGCTGGAATGGTTGAATTAGTAAAAAAGGGTTGTTTTCTTCATGCATCCCAGGACGCTACTTAGGCATTCTTGTTTTATGACGAGGATCTGGGAGGAAGCATTTTTCCGACGCATTGTTTCGGCGCACATCTATCGGCGCAGTACTTTCCCGATATTATCTCTTGACGGGCCAACACTTGACAACAAGAACAAATTATTTTTGGTATGTTTTACTTTGCTCAATATTTTACCGCAGATGGACAATGAAATAGAAGAATAGAAAGATTTCACTTTAATTTCATGTGTATGAAGACATTTTATGACGCACCCTGTGTTTGATCCCTTAGCTGTATACACAGACCGAACAGTGCTTGCGGGTAGGAGTGGGAATCACCTGTACAGCCTTCTACTCGCTATGTTTTGAATAGTCATGTGTCTAATTTGCAAGACGGATGACAGGAAGAAGTAGATATGAGTGAAGGAGCAAACAAAGTGAGGAAGGAAGGAAAGAAGGGAAGTTAAAAC